CTCCTTTTTCTTCCTTCATCCCCTCCTTCCTTCCATCCCCTTCCTTCATTCATTCCTTTCCATTTTCCTTTGCTTCTTTCCTCCATTCCCATCCCTCCCCCCTTTTCTTCCTTACCTTCATTCCTTCCTCTATCCCCTCCCTTCATTTTTTCCTTTCCTCCCTCCTCATCCTTCAATCATTCCTTCCTTCTCTTTTCCCCCTTCCCTCCCCTTCCTCCCTCCAATCCTTCCTTCCTTTCTCCCTTCCTCCCCCCCTTCATTCCTTCCTTCCTTCCTCTATCCCCTCCCTTCCTTCATTCTTTCCTCCCTCCTCTCCTTTCATTTCCTTCCTTCCTGCCTTCCTCCCCTCCTTTCATTTCCTTCCTTCCTTCCCATCCTTTCTTCCCTCCTTTTCCTTCATTCTTTCCTCCATCCATTTCCTTCCTTCCTCCACCATCCATTTCCCCTCCTATCCATCCTTTTTCCTTTTCTCTTTCCATTCCCTTCCTTCACTTTCCTTCCTTCTCACCATTCTCCTCATTCCTGCCTCCTTTCCTTCCTTCATTCCCTTTTCCTTCCTTCCTTCTTCCCCCCATTTCATTCCTTCCTTCCTCCATTTCTTCCTTCCTTCATCCATTCCTCCCTCCCTCCCTCACTTTTCTTCCTTCCTTCCCTCCCTCCCTTCCTTCCCTCCCCTTCCTTCATTCCTCCCTCCCTCCCTCCCTCCCTCCCTCCCTTTTCTTCCTTCCTCCATATATTCCCTCCCTTTTCTTCCTTCCTTCCTTTCCTTGCTCCTGCCTCCCTCCCCTCCTTTCATTTCCTTCCTTCCTCCCTCCCCTCCTTCCTTCCCTCCCTTTCCTTCATTCTTTCCTCCATCCATTTCCTTCCTTCCTCCCTCCCTTTTCTTCCTTCCTTTCTCTATCCATTCCCTTTTTCTTCCTTCCTCCCTTGCATTCTTTCCCTCCCCTTCCTTCCTCCTTCCTTTCCCTCCTCCCTTTTCTTCCTGCTTCATTTCCCTCCCCTTCCTTCATTTCCTCCATCCCCTCCCTTCATTCTTTTCTCCCTTTTCCCTCCCTCCTTCTTCCTTCCCTCCCCTTCCTCCCTTTCTTCCTTCCTCCTTCCCTCCCCTTCCATCATTCCTTCCTTCTTCCCTCCCTCCCCTTCCTTCATTCCTTCCTTCTTCCTTCCCTCCCTCCCCTTCCTTCCTTCTTCCCTCCCTCCCCTTCCTTCATTCCTTCCTTCCTCCTTCCCTCACCTTCTTTCATTCCTTCCTTCCTCCATCCATTCCCTTTCTTTTCTTACTTCCTTTCCTTCCTTCCTCATCCATCCATTTTCCTCTCCTTTCCTTCCTTCCCTCCTCTACCTTCATTACTTTGTCCATTCCATTTTCTTTCCTCCATTCATTCCTTCCTTCCTTCCTCCATCTATTCCCTTCCTCCCTTTTCTTCCTTCCTTCATCCCCTCCCTTCAGTCTTTCCTCCCAACCTTCCTTCTTTCCCTCTCCTTCCTTCCTTTCTTCCTCCCTCCCTCCTCCCTCCCCTTTCTTCCTCCCTCCATCTGTTCCCTTCCTTTTATTCCTTCCTTCCTTCTTCCCTCCCCTTTCTTCCTTCCCTCCCCTTTCTTCCTTCCTCCATCCCCTTCCTTCATTCTTTCCTCCCACCCCTCCTTCCTTCCCTCCTCTTTTTTCATCCATTCCCTCTCTCCCTTTTTATTCCTTCCTTCCTTCCTTCCTTCCTCCCTCCCTCCCTCCCTTTCTTCCTTCCTCTCTTCCTACTTTCCTCCTTCCCCTTCCTTTTCCTTCATTCTTTCCTCCATCCAGTTTATTTATTTCCTTCATTCCTTCCTACCTCCATCCATTCCCTTTTTTCCAATATAAGGGGGTACAGGTTCTGTTTATTCATCCCAAGCTAATGACAGCCCAGCATATACTAGTGCTCCCTGTTCACTCCCTACTGACACTGTCCACTGCCCCCACAAAATCATTGTGAAAAAAATAATACAGAAATACAGTAAATTGTAAAAAATCATTAAAAATTAGATAATAACAATTTTAAAAATCCTGACACCCACACCATTGCTCTACGGACACCATCCACTGGCCACCCAAAAGCATTTTGAAAAAATGATAAAAATAATAAAACATTAATTTGTAAAACAAATCATAAAATTGTAAAAAAAAAAATAAAATAATACTAATAAAAATGAAGAGCTACTGACACCACCTCCTGACACCATCCTACACAAACTACCCACAGCCATACACTCCGCACTCCTTTCCCTGTACATACTACCCACCACCATACAGTCCGCACTCCTCCCCCTGTACATGCTACCCACAGCCATACACTCCGTACTTCTCTCCCTGTACATAATACCCACCACCATACAGTCTGCACTCCTCTCCCTGTACATACTACCCACTGTCATACACACCACACTGTACATTCCCTGTTAACATTACCTCATTCTGCACTATATAAGTCATCTCAAACACTATTTAACCACACCCCTTTTAAGCCATGCCAAATTTTTAGCGTAATTTAAAACACACCCCTCCTCTCTCATCCCCTCCTCTCTCTTTTCACTCCACCTCCTCCTCTCTCTCACTCCCCTCTCTCTTTCACTTCCTCCACATGGCAGCCATCTTTAAACCTGGAAGTGCCCAGTGGCTTCTACAAAAAGAAGCTGGGAACATTAATGCAGTCTTTGCTGCAGTAAATATTTCAATGCAACTTCTATGCAGCTGAGCTGCAATATGTAGGTAGGGTGTTGTGTGGGTGTGGCTTGAGTGTAGGTGGGGGAACAGGGGGCCCCATTATCTCTTACTGCCCGGGGGCCCCATGTGTTGTCAGTCTGCCCCTGCCTTCAACACAACAAGGTAGGTTTATAGAAATTCTTAATACACTTTGAGGATTATACTAAAACTGGAGTTTGCAAAATCTGGTGCAGCTCTGCATAGAAATTAATTAGCGTACAGTTTTTTTTTTTTTTTTTTTTCGCAAAAGCTTAACTGAACAAGCTGAAGTTAGAAGCTGATTGGATACCCTGCACAGCTGCACCCAATTCTGAGTGCTCTAGTTTTAGTAGATCAACCCCTTTGTGTTTATTAACCTCCCTAGCGGTAATCCCGAGTGCGACTCAGGGGTTAATTTACAGTACCAAAAGCGGTAACCCAAAGCTACACTCGGGATTCCTCTATAGTGTTCTCCTGCGATCCCCCAATCCTTACCTTGTCCTGCTATCCTGTGATATCCTCCTGCTGTGTCCTCCGGCCATGTCCTCCGGCCGATGCCGGCATCCGTCTTCTGGGTTCCATTCCCTGCGAGCGTCAGTACACAGGAGGGCGAAACCAGTGGGAGATTCAAAAAAGTAAAAATATGACATACACACAATACATTGTAATCTGTTAGTATTACATTACTGTATCAAACCATTTCACCTAAATGTTGTTCCTAGTGCTTTGTCCAGTGCCCTGCCTGCACTTTTACTCTTCTTTCTACCTGGAAACTTGAGAACGTTCATGACATCCAAAAAGTGTCCCTTTAGGTCAAAAGCGGTTTTAGACCAGCTAGAAAACAGCGATAGTGAATTAGAATCACTAGCAGAATTGAGCGAAAATGATTCCTGGGAAAATTTGTCATCTGACACTGAAAATGATTCTGCGACTGAGCTCAGTGATATGCGAACTTGGCGCTCTATTTCAAGTTTCATTGTTTTTGGTTTAATTATATTATTGAATTAAATGTATTATTATTATATTATTATTTTGTATATTTATTATATTATAATTTATGATTTCGTGTTTCAAACTTTATCATACCCGGGAAGTTTATTAGACTCTTGTTTGGACAGATTTAAGTGAGTTATTCCTAAGAATTGCAGGCCTACAAAATAAAACAACAAATTTCCATGCAAAACAATGTACCGCTTTGACATTCAAAAATATTGATTAGTTAGACCGCCAGGGAGGTTAAATGTCATAAGTATCTTAATACAATCAGACTCTCAGACTGTCCATTTTGCATTGTTATTGAGTGACCCTCTGAAGCTTGCCAGTTTGTTACTTGCAATTTTGTATGAAAATGTAAATAGGATAAACAACAAAGGAGGCAGTAAGGATGAACAGGTATCCACTCAGTATAACCAAATGGAAAAAATCTTAAAGACAAATCTTTGCAATCATAAAATAGGATTGCAGTATTCATAACAGAATATAACATTCTATAAGGCCCTACATGCCTTATAGTTGCTGTAAAGGCTCAAGGTGTAGGTAAAGGCTTCTGTGTGTAGCAGCCTTCCCAGCCCCCCCTAACACTTACCTGGGCCCCATCCTGATTCAGCACTTTCACTCTTGATTGGCTGAGGCAGCAGCGGAAGCCATTAGCTCCCGATGTTGTCAATCACAGTAAGCGAGGAAAACAAGAGAGGGAGGGATGGGACCGAGCCCTGGTTCTGTGTGTGAATGGACATGCAGAGCCGTGGCTTGGGAGCACATCTGCTTCAGTGCCCCCATAGGAAGCTGCTTGCTGTGGGGATACCAGACAGGAGAGAGGGGCCTGGAGTGTCGGCAGGGGACCCGAGAAGAGGAGGATCTGGGCTGAACCATGCAAAACCACTGCACAGAGCAAGTAAGTATAACATGTTTGTTATTTTAAAAAAAAGGCTTTTGTATCACTTTAAAGGAGGGGTGAGAAAGGAAAGTTAGTGAGTTAAATTCAGTCACAAATTGCAGGGTTAGTATTTGGCTTAGGGTTTTGTAGTACTGCACAGGAAAGCTATACTGCCTTGGACTCTTTCCGGGCTTCGTTTGTTTCAATGCCTGAGAAAATTCTTCTAAGTGATGTGGTATTCTAGGTTGGAAGCCTCCTGATCAGAGATGGTTGGGGGGTCCATATGAAGCTCCATCCTAGAAGGAGCCCTTAGGAAGGAGCAACCAAGTTGTACATCCCCTCATAATAAGTTAAAACTGTCCAGTAGTGATGTCCTTGGTTTTGGAGTATATGTTTCCTTTTGAATCATGTATCAGGGTTTGAAAAAGCTGCTCGCCCTCTCGCCAAATACGAGGGGAAATCCTTGTGTGGCGAGCACAGATGGAGCGGCTCCACCTGCGCTCCAAGCCTCATTGTGAAGCCGAGTTCTGGTTTCCAACTTCTGGTTTCTGGCTTCTTCTTCGGGAACCGCCATTACACTGGCAGCGCCGCTGAGGGGACAGGTGCAGGAGAGGTCCACTCTCCTCCGCTGAGAGGAGAAACCCGCTCTCCACCGCCTACCTATTCACTATTGATATCTGTATAAGTATCGTTTCACTTTTCGAGGGCAGCTGTAAATCCACATTATTGATACAGCATGGGCACAATACTATTATTATTTAGCACATTATCACTAGCACACCATAATAATACCATTTAACTATAAGTGATTATTCAAGCCCAAAGGAGCTTGTCCATCCATGTTTTCTTATCAGGTATCAAACCTAGTCTCACTCACACAGCAGTTTTTATTAGTAGGTTTCTTTTTATTTCCTTTTAACTCTTAGAGCAAGTATAATTATGTTATGGGCTACTGTTATTTATCTTTTATTTAGATGTTATGACACAATGTATACTGTACCATCTCTTCTTTTGGCCTAGCCATTTTGCTTCTTTTGTATATCTCAGTAAAAAACTCAATAAAGAATGTTTAAAAAAAAAAAAAGAATAATAAACAGTTTTTGGCTAAGTGTATATCTGTGTATATCTTCTTCTGAAGAAGGGTCTTGTGGGGTTTATTTATAAAGACAATTGGACTGTTCACTTTGCAAGGGGAAGTTGACTCATAGCTTAGTGCAGTGTTTCTCAACTCCAGTCCTCATGGACCCCCAACAGGTTATGTTTTCAGGATTTCCATTATTTTGCACAGGTGATTTGATCAGTTTCACTGCCTTAGTAATTACCACAGCTGTTTCATCTGAGGGAAACATTCCTCAGGTCAACTGTGTGTTTCATCTCATTGATTATGAAGCTGTTAGTTTTAACTGAGTTTCCCACTGACCACTCCCAAAACGTGTAGTCAGAGCCCCCCTCCCCTTTGAGAGGGACTTTTAAGAAGAGACAAGCTAGTTTAAGTTTTTACACAGATCTCCCAGCTAACATCGAAGGAGGAGATAAAGAATCGTCCTGCTCTGCAACTTGGATCTGCAAACCCAGGCTAAGGGCGAGTAACTTAACCCTATAATCTTCTTATTATTATCTCTGCTGTGTCTTTATATACATATATATATATTTTTGTGATATCTCTTTGTAAATATTTTATTGCACCTGTTTAACACTTTCAGAAAGAAAGATTTATTACTAAAAGAGTCAAACTGTTTCTAAGTGCTTACCTGCAATTCACAAATTCCTGCCTTTTGAAGAGACGCTACTGTATTTGTTTACTCCCTGCCCAATTGACCATATTGGACAGGTGACTTTTCAATCATTATAGTGTATTTCTGACAGCGTCCGTCTTCTCTGTACATTTCATGACGGTGGTGGCAGTGTGAAGGGTTTGTGGTGTAATTAACCTGACCCAGTAACAAGCGCATTCAGGCTGCAGGCACCGATTGTAGCCCATTAGCTGGACAATCGCTGTGCAGGGTGCAGCTGGGTGGGGCCTTGTTACGCGCGTCACACCACGCTTTTAGATCGGCCGGTCCTTCGGTCACGAGTTTGGTGAGAAGGTCTGGGGTCTGACGCCGTGGGCGTGATGTATTACTGTTAGTCGCATGTTGGTGGTGGCTACTGTGGATCCGTGACATCAGGAAAGAGGCCAACCCAGCAGAAAGCCTGAAGGCAGCCACTTACCTAAACCAGCTCACAGGAAAAGGACTGAGTGAATAATCCTACACCTCCTGGGCCAGTTAAGGGGAAAAGAGTACGACTGTTCAAATTAAAGTGGCAGGCACTGGACCCCCTTGCCCAGGGATTCCTCCAGCTGGGTAAAGAAGAAGATTTATCTGGGGTCTGTGTGGTGGGAGCGTTGTACACCAGGAGAGGCTGGAGAGCTCTCCCAGAAGAATTTTGCTGTGAAAGACTTGTACATAGTTGCCAGGAAATTCCTTGGGCATCCCATACACCCGTTACCCCATCCAGTTCAATTCCACAAATAAAATTTACAAACCAAGCTCAAGGACTGTTCACCATCTCCAGAATGCAAGTTTGTGGAAAATGTATGTTGCCTGGCTGTGCAGGACTATAGGGGGACCCAAAAACCTCTGCAACTCCTAAGAGGGTAGTACTACAATTTGTATTATATCTTCTTGGCGTGGTGTACGTTTTGAAAGAGCACCAAACCCACAGGATTTAATGGAAGTCTATAGCTCAGTGGAGCTAACCTACAGGAAAGCCGCATGTGCACTGCACTGCACCTGAGGATCAGTGTGAAAGCAGCCTAATAGTTATTAACTCTTTTATAGTTGCTAATATGCTCATTGCAAAAGTGCAGTATATGTGCTGTTTAATGCACAACCTTCTTTTCCTCTTCCAGCTTCTGCTTCCATCGCTCTCCAGTATGCTTGAAAGATCCCAGCTGAAGTGCACTTGGTATCATACCACCTAGGACAGGAGCTGGCACTACAGAAGAAGCATTGGCTTGTGCACCCACTGCTCGCTCTGTGGCCTAACAGCACTGATTCGATGCACTCTGACACTCTGGGATGGCAAGCCCAGATTGCAATCAATGGGTTGCTGACCCTGGACATGCACTTTCCTGGTTGTAAATTTCACTGCCACTGACCCTTAATACACAGGATGGAGTTGCTGATAGTACTGACACCAAAGCTGGGGGCTGTTGCTAAGTCCACTGTCACCAATTTTGGTGGTTATTATTGCAGTCACTGACACCACTTGGGGCTCATTCATATAGGTGCAGGGATCGGTACACTCTTGCAAAAGCCCATGTTTAGCTGCTGTAAAAGCAGTGTGTAGCTTAGAATTCACTAGAAGATTTGGGTCCTCCTATATATATGCACAGCCAGGCATCACATATCTTGCATTCAGAATCAGAAATCAGTCATTGAGCTTTGTTGTTTTATTTAAGGGATTTGAACTGGGATGAGGTTAGGGGTGTACAGAATGCCTAAGGATACTAAAGAACTGAGGACAACTTTCTGGAACTATGTACAATCCTTCACTGCAGCACCGTCTCTGTTGGAGAGCTACCCAGAATCTCCCAATGTACCACCCCAGACCCTAGATGAACTTCTCCTCTTCACCCAGCAATCTGGAGATATTCATGAACAGGGGAACTGGTTCATGTCACCTTAAGAGATGAACAGTCACTTGTAGGTGGCTAATCCGGTTTCTCACCAGAGCGCTCCTTCCCTTGTCCTCCTAGGGGGTGGACTCACACAGATTCTCTCCTGCACCACTGGTGGGCCAGTGGCCGCCACAAGGCCCATCAGCTCAGCTGCTCCCTCCCCTCCACACAGGCAGTCCTTGCCCTGGGGCCAGTGAGCTCTGAGCTCTCCTTTCCCCCAGTTCCAGGCCTGCAGGTAGGCCCATCCCACTGTGCTTCCCCACAGCCCTTCACCTCACATCTGCCCCACTATCCTCCACCCGAATTCTCCTGCAACTGAGCAGGCTCCAACATTTTTAAGGGTGCCCAGCCCCTTGCCAAGCCTTCTGTTGGGGATTGGCTAGGATCCCTCAAGAATGAAAGCCAACCACTCCTCAGATCCACCCACTGTCTCTAGGCCTTCCTCCAAAGCTACAGAGTAGGGAAAAATTCCAGAGGGGCTGGCCTGTAGAGTCTCTCAGATTCTGACTACAATTTGATCTTCTGGCTTTCACACCCAGGCTGCTACTCAGCCCTCCCCTCTATCAGCTCCCCCTAGCTAAACTAGGACTGTGTTACATTCACCCTCCACTGGAAAACAGTCATGTCCTCATTGGCTGAGGGCAAAAAGAACAAAAATAGCTCCTAAGCCCAAGAGCAGGGCATCCTATATAAAAAAAATGGAAGGGGAACAGGGTACAGAAACTGGGAAGAAGGAATAAAATATATACAAATAAATTAGTATAAAAAAATATTTGTATACAAATGTACTAATTTACAACCTAGCTACCTCTCCACATCTAATGGCAAGAACAAAATTCAAAAATATATACAATAACATACAAATACAAATACATATGAACAAATCATAGGGATCCCTATGATTAAGTCAGGATCTGACGAAACACGTCAAAGCGTGATGGTGCGGCGGACCGGAAGTAACGCAGATCTGTAACCGAAAGTGACGTGACAGCGTTCTGTCTGGCAGTTCCGGAGGTGGTGAGAGCACCATGCGGCATCTGTGTTACTGAATTGAATATTTTAAAGGAATTATTGATTTTTTAAATTGCTGTAAGTGCAATATTTGGCTTATTAAAGTTGTTTACCTTGGGTAATACACGATTGGAGCGAAATTTTTTCTCTATGTAATGATGGAGTGGAGTATTTACTATGATCCTGGCAACCATTCATAAGGGTGATTCTTGGAGGAACCTATTGATCTCAACAGTGGATACCTTTATGATCAGGCTAACTAAAGGCTATGTTCTGGTGAGTGCACACCTGAGTGGGGGTGCATGACGGGCACAGCACAAGGTTTCAACGTATTTATATATTTTTTCACTGGAAGTTATTTAAATTGGATTCACACTGTGCAACATTTATACTGGACTTTAATTTTTTCTATCACGGGACTTATTATTTTATATTTTGTATTCTATATTTTTTGTTTTTTATGGAACATCACTGTTTATGTTCACAGTCACATATATGAATTTTTTAATTTTTGCACATTATTTTTATGTTACAGGAATATTAATGAAGACAGAAAGTGACGCACATGAATGTTAATTAGAGTTTATTAATATATATCACACATGTTATGCATCGCTATTAATTACTAAAGTAGAGGTGATACTATATAAATTTATGTCTTATACTGGAAGATAAGTGGCAGCAATATAATGTAATATACTAGTCTATTTAGTAGCAACTGGCGCGATTTGGTGACCTTTAAATAATTTTCTGGTTGGTCACTTACAAGAAAAGGTCCCTGTAAATAGCCCGACTTTTGCTCCATTCCTGCTTCATGAACACGGGCCCAAGCTTCCTCCAGATGGGGCCCTCTCAAGTGTCTGGGGACATGCATATGGTCCCAGATCAAGTTCTCCTCCCATTGAGCCCTGGACTTCTCAACTGTGTCCATGACTTCTTGAGGGACATATGAGTAGTCCAATCCCCAAACCAAAGCTACCCT